TATTTTTTTTTTTTTTGGGAAAGAAATTCTACGACCGTTTTTATTGTAAATTTTATGGAAAAATTGCCTTTAATAAAAAAAGGCCATCCATTCAAAATTTTTTTTTTTTTTTTTTGGCCTTTTGGGAAGATTTTAAAATCAAATTAAGGGGGGTTATATTCCGCCCGCCAAAATATTGGGCCCAGAGGGGTTCATTGCCATTTCCAAGGGACAACAAATTTTGGGGTTTTGGAAGGTACCCAAGTTTTTAGGAAAGGGGGATTCGGCCTGCCTTGGAGATTACCATCCCATTAGGAAATTTAGTGGGATCGATGGGTTTTTGAAAGGGGGTTTCGGCCCCTTTTAAAAAAAAAAGGGATGGTTTTTAGGAAAAAAGTTTACCTTCAAAAAGGGGGGTATTTTCCAATTTAAAACTTTTTTCCCGGGTTCCAATTTAAACCTTTTTTTTCGGGATTCCAAGAATTCTGAAAAATGGGGGGGGGGGTAAATTTCCCGCTCTTTTTTTGGTCCCATTTCCCAATTTTTTGTTTTCCCCCGGGCGGTCGGAAAACGCGCCTGCCATGGTCATCAATATCAATTCCCCCCCCCCCCCCCCCCCATCGTTTCTGACAGCCAACGGTCATTCGACCATTAAATGATGGTGTCAGCGCATTTAATACGCCAACGTGTATGGAGGACGCGCCTGCCATGGTCATCAATATGCCCCTTCGTACATGTCAAAGCCATTAATATGCCTAAACACGGTCACCGCGGCCCCCTTCCGAGCGCCACATATCCGTTCGGCTCTCATCGACATGCTTTCTTCACTCCGTCATTGTGACGAGGAGAGACCTTCTACGTGGCCCGTCTATTTGGACCGCGCTCTAGACGGGCCTTAATGGGTTAGATCTCTCAATAATTGGACTTGTCCAAATCAATTGGGCCATAAAATTTAGCCAAAATATAAAAAATAAAGCCCAATTAAAAAAAAATTAGCATCTTACATTTCTACCTGAAAAAAAACATATAGAGTAGGAAGGAGGGAACAACCACCGAAATAATTTCTTCGAAATTGAAGATCTTACAAATCCAATCGATCCACAACGAAGAAAATTGCAAGAGTAGAATTCAATCAGCACCAGAAGAGGAAATTTGACGAAGAAGAAGATGCTGCCTACTTCTTCATCAGCTAAGGCCCGTTCGGGCTCACACACCCGGCCCAATTCTTTCCTCCCTCATTACCTCCGCAGAATAGTCAAGGTTTTGTTTCCTTGTTTATTTCTTCTTTAATTTTCGTACGAATTATCACGTATCTTCAATAGTGTTTGGAATTTGTTGCTGAAGTTTACAGATCTGATCTCGATCGTCTGTTCTAAAAAAAAAATTATTGGATTTTTTCCGCTCAATTATTGCCTCATTGTGTTGCGATGGGGAATTTGTTGCTTGATTATGTGTTTCTGCTTTGCTGATTTTTTTTTTTGTCTGTGGAGAAAATATACCAGTCGAATAAATGGAGTGCGAAAATGGTGTTCGTGTGATTTACATTGAGTTTTCCTCTTTGTAGTTGGGGTGACACTTTTGACTTTGAAACGAATTTTTGGGGAAATTGAGCTGGCAGCTATTGATTCTGTAGAATCGTTGTTAATTGTTATCGGACGATATGGAAAACTCAAATTGATAAGTATTGACATTTGATATCTGATTGGAGAGAATTAAATAACATTGTAATAAGCCGACACCCGAGCTTATGTTAGATTTCCTCATATGGCTAAAGTTCACTAACTCGCAAGTTGAACAGATTATAGGTTATCTAAGTTTGTTTTGGTTTGTCCGCTGTTCTGCATTACGGGATACGTTACTGCTGAAAATTTACATTCTCGGTATATTATGCGTAAATTGGTTATTTATTAGGAATTCACCTCTCTTTTCCGAGATTTGATTGGATTCATTATTTCATGTAATTGATGCTAGTTTTCCAGTTCGTAGTTATTAATGGTGCAAAATGGCGCATGCTTGGCTAGAGACGCACTTGACGCATGTCCAGCAGCACCATTTTTTGACGAACGTGTACATGAGTAGAACTTGCTATCACTGTTATTTTATTTTTTCAAAATTGTACAAATTCCGAGAAACCTGACTGAGAAACAGGGTTTCGTGTTTTTGTCTAATGTCTACTTATTAACCTGTAGGTGCGATTGTTTCATTTATTATTTTCTCTGAGTGACACCAGTTTTTTTTTTTTGGATGGTTTAATGCAGTGGCAACAAATGGACATCGAATATACTTTCTGGCAAATGCTTAACCTATGCACGTCGCCGAAAGTTGTGTGGGTATCCAGCCTCTGCAAATTATACTTGTTGTTCTTCATTATTCATATCCGAAATATTTGCTTGTTCTCTGTAATTCCAGTGAAGTACTCCGGAGAGATGCATCTTGTTCTTAACTCATTATCAATCTTAAAATTTTTTATTTCCACTATTATGCCATGTGAGAAATATATATGTGTGAAATTATTCAACTTGTAATGGTATGTTGATGGAAGCCATCCTTTTCGTATGTGGATGATACAAATGCACTTATTTGATAGACCACTTAGTTACGAGAGTATGCCTATGCTGTGAGATTTTTTTCTTTCCTTAAAGCAACATGGCCAGATTCTATTGAGAATTAAATAAAGTTTATATTTCCGGTAATATCCTTAAAGCAACATGGCTAGATGAAGGGCTTTGCTTTCGACTATTTGCTTTCTGATGAAGTTGTTTCCATATTTTTTGCATGTAAACCATATAATCAATGCAGATATCAGCACACCAAGTATCACAAGCGTAAGTCTCTTCTCTGTGTTCTCTTTTGCTATGCCTGTATAATTAATAGAGTATAATTTTCTATATCTGAATAGTTTTCAAATTCTTGCTACTAAATAACCAGCCCCACAAAATAAAGTAATTCTTTTGTTGTGCAGAAACAAAGAACCAATGGGCACGTGACGATCCTGCATTTGTTGTCATATGTAGTCTTCTTTTAATAGTTTCTACAATTGCTTATTGTGCTGCGTAAGTAACATCTATGCTTTTATATTGTGGCTGGTGTTTCATGATCTTAAAATTCATCGCAGTCCGCTTTCTTTAATTCATACACTAAAAAATTATTAACTGTACCTCTGAGTGTTTGGAGTTTTTTTTTTCTCTCTTTTAATTCTTCCATATTACATTCAAGTGTACCTTATTTTCTATCTGTCCTATGTCGTTTATTTGTATTAGGTACGATCATGGAGCAGGACATGCAATTTTCGTAGTTATTTCAGTGTTGCTCTTCCATTTCCTCTTAATAGGTGCAATTTTGGCTACCTGTTGCTGGTAAGGACTAAGGACCAACGAGAATATGAATGAAAAGATGTTGCCTATAATTATATGAGTTCGTGTTACTTTTCTCAATTCTATTTTGCATTTAAATTAGGGACCAGGATAAGTTTTCGAACTATAGTCATGCAATAATAAAATCATACTTTAAATATCAAATGACTAAAGTAGGCCTTGTTCCAGATGTGGAATCTGTGATTAGTCTGTGCTGCCCAATTTATCAGTGTAAAGAAAGTGAAAAAATATCTCTACATAACGAATTCTGTAGAAGAAGGTTAGGTGCTATTTTCCACGAACCCCATATACAGAAGTGTCATACTATTGCAGAAATTGCTGCTGTATGACTAACGACAAGGAAATCAGAAGATGTAGTTTCATCCCTTTGCAACTTTGTGTGGAGAACATAGTATAGTTAAACCTCTATAAATTAATACAGTCGGGACTAGCAAAATTATATTAATTTAGTGAAATATTAAATTATCGAACTAATAATTTAGTAGGTTTTTTCCGAATCGGGAACAGAATAAACTATTATTTAAGCGAGGTTATTTATTTATCGAGGTTTTACTGTAATTAGAGGAACTATGCTAATTTATAATGTGAGTCATATTGCAAATACCCTATTATATTATTCCCATTTGGAATGCTGAATCCAGTTTCATGTTTTGGGAAGTAACCGCAGCTCGCCTGATCATATTACTCGTATAGAACATATTATTCTGTTTTCTTTGCTTGTATCAGAAGTCTCTTAAACTTAACAGAAACGTCTCTTAACAGCACTAGGTTTTGGTCGGGAAAGCGATTCTCTATCTTTATTTTGCATTATGCTGAGAACTTTAACAATTGCTTAATGTGCTTACTTATAATGTCACAATTGTATATTGAGAACTATTTGCCAAACTTTTTCCAGGTTCTTCACTAACAATTATCTTCGAGAAGAAGCTCCAAACAGCCATGTAGTCGAGCAACGGGTCGAATGGCAAGTTCTGATCCTTTCGTGCATCTACATTTCTGCTAGCCTTTGCTTACTGACACTTTTTGTTTGCCACTAACATTTGTGAAGGTTGTATGCATTTGATGTACACTGCAACTCTTTCTTCCCTATGTTTGTGCTGCTTTACGGTAAGTTGTGAATATGTACTGCGTAATTGTCTCCAAAAGAACTAATTGATAGCTACTGATACATTTGTTGTTTTGCAGTGATTCATTATTTTTTATCACCTCTGCTGGTGGCTCATGGTTTTGTTCCTGTACTACTATCAAATTTGCTCTTCATGGCAGCTGTTTCCTACTACCATTACCTAAATTACTTGGGCTACGATGGTGAGATAAGTCTTAGTTAAAGAATTATCTCTTTCTTTATTCGTTTCATGTCAATGATTTGTTTAGACCTGTCCAAGCTCAATAATCGTGAAGTGTGTTTTTGAATTTACTGCTGCCTATATACTCAAGTTGCATAGCCATTATTACCTTTGGTATAGGATAATTGACCAAAAGAACAAGGTCTACTTAGTTTTGCAAGACGAACAAGTGCCAAAAAAATTGGGTATATCAAGACTCATAAATATAAATGAGCTCTTTGGTAATTGAGAATGATTTCTTTGTCATAAATTGTGCAAAAGAATGTAATGTATATGTCGACACCCGAAATTACGATTGCTTTTATGTAATACAAAATGCAGTTGTTGTGCTGTGCAGCCTTCAAATTGTTTTATCCCTTGAGTAAGTAGAAAATCAGGGTGCAATGTCAAGAATTACGTCTAAATTATCACAAATTCGTCTTTGCTTCTGTTGCAGTATTGCCCTTCTTGGAGAGGACCACTTTGTTCCTGTATCCAATTGGTGTTGTCCTTGTTCTTTCCCCTATATGTAAGTATCTATATCCATACGAAATTCTTAACATTGTTTGTTGTATATAAGTAAAATAATTTGGTTCTCCTATGTTTGCAGTAATTCTGAGTGGCTTCAGTCCCTCGAGATATTTTATGAACATGTATTTTAGTCAATCGCTATAGATGCCAGCTGGACGACACCTCATCACATCCCAAGAAGAAGATGTCGGTGAACAACGATGAAAAAGTTGATGCCGATCTTCGTACTGCATTGATTGAGGAGTATGATTTTTGCCTTGAGGAAAACTTCAGTTGGTATAATTGAACGGAAAGTAGTCAAGTAGTGTAGCAATTCGTGTAATGTTTTTTTGCTTCATGATTATCGATCAATCTCGCCTTTATAACCAGAAAATACACTGAAGTTGCTTGAAAGAACTACTCACCTCAATTATCATTTGCCTCCCTATAGTGAATGTTCATAATAGAGGACACACTTGCATTTTTTTTTTTTTTTTTTTAATTATTACCTATGTTTCTTGATTTTGTTATCGGATAAAAACTGATTAGTCGGGGGATTTTTGAAAAAAATCGGTATCGGATATTAAGTACATAGATTTTGATTCGTTTATTTGGTGTGAAATCACATTTTCGTCTGGAATTATTAGCTACATGCCTCGGCCGCATGAGAAACGCATCGACCGTTCTGCCGGAATTCTCTGAGACATGGTAGTTATGTTTATCACAACTACTACACACTATGTATATATAGGAGAAAAAAAAAATCAATTCTACAAGTGTGTATGAATAAATGTTTTATAGATATATACCAAGTTCCAACAAAATTGTACGTTCCTCCAGGAACTTTCATTTATTCTTTCGAATATTTTCTTAGCTTTAAATTTAAAATTTCGTATGATATATACATCGCTAGCGGCGGAAGCTCCTGACAGGGAGGTGATCAGGTAGGTCATCTTGCGCGGGGAGTTTGACGAGAGTATAAGTAGCCGCACCTGCAATAGCTCCAAGTGTTGGAGCGACAAAGTAAATCCATATCGACTTGTAATTCCCTGCAGCAATAGCTGGCCCCAACGTTCGTGCTGGATTCATTGATGCACCGGTCGAGGGCCTATATGTATATACATATATATATATGTACGCCCATCGTATCGTATGTATGTTAATAAGTTAACTACTATTTTATTTTTAATTAGGAAAATATTAATTGATTTAGTTTTTAACCTACTCACCCAGCCACAAGAATATCAAGCATAACTACCGCTCCGATAGCTAGTCCGGCTAGCTCTCCCACCTGTACGTACCGCACGATTAATTAATTACTTAATTTCAATACAAATTAATTATATTATATATATGTATATGTGTATGTATCGTACGGCGCGAGTGTCTGTGGCGACGGCGATAATGACGAAGAGCAGAAAAAAGGTGGTGAGGAACTCTAGGGCGAAGGCCTGGGCGGTTGTGACGGAAGGAACAGTGACGCCGCCGGAGAGGAAAGGGTGGAAGACGGCCTTGAGAGAGAAAGAAGCGCAGATGGAAGCGGATATCTGCGCCACGACGTAAGCCGGGACTTCAGCCCAGGGGAAGTGGCGTAGGGACGCAAAAGCTACGGTGACGGATGGGTTGAGGTGGGCCCCGGAGATGTGGCCGATAGACAAGATCACCACCATCACCGCCAGACCCGCGCACAGCGCGTTGCCTATAAGCGTCTCGACGCCGTTGTACTTCTCGTTCACTATGGGCCCGCCCACCGCCGCAAATATCAGGATGTACGTCCCCACAAACTCTGCTCCCACCTGTGTGCATGCATTTTTTAGACATGTCCTTTTGCAACACAAGGTCCCAAACTATTTGTATATTGTAATTGGCCCCAAAAACTATGTAATAAGTAATAACGAAATTAAAAAAAAAATTATCTAAGCAATAAAATACATACGGTGCCCAAATTTTATAAAAAAAATAATCTAGTGGTTAATACTTTGAAGTTTTGTACTTAGAATGAAAAACAAATTTGGGCTATTATTATCATTATATGATTAATTACTTGTACCAGTCGCGTACCTTGCGAGCGAGAGAGGTATTACGTACAAACCAATTCCGCACCATATTCATGGAGTCGGAGCGACCCATATTACTATTTGATCTCGGCATCAGCGGCATTGGTGTCGTCGGAGCCGACATATATGTATATATATATATATATATATAAATGATGACTATGGCTTTCTTCTGTTTATGTGAAGAATGTATATCAATCTATATATATATATAGACAAGCTCATATCAACACACAGTAGAAAACCGCCCTCTTTAGTTAATTAATTAATTAAAGAAGAGAAACCGGAGTGACCAAAAACTAAATCAAAATCAAATAGTTCAGAATTGTGTAATTAGAAATTATTATTATTATTATTGTTAAATTTATTTTTTGCTTATTCAAACTCAACCTAATCAAACGGGCCTCCTTGATTATTCATTCCTGCACTCCATCTTTCATCACGTTACATAAAGTCAAAATGTCAACGCAACATTACCCAATCACATTGCTACATGGACAGAATATACTTTAATTTATTAGTAATTTAATTTGATGACAGCTTTAATATTCGGGCCTATCGGGCCACTCTTATTATTTAATCCTACATTCAGCCCTCCCACTCCGCCCGTCATTAACACAAATATGGATAAAATAAATTAGTCAACTCCTATTAATTCACCCAATTACATTAATTTCCATTTCTTTAATTCATTATTTCTCCTATTTTATTTCAAACTTTTATATATTTTTATTTGATCAACACAAATAACGGGCCACGGTTCTCAGCCCGTCATTAACATAGAATTATTTATTTAAAAAAAAAGGCAAGCAAGCAAAAAACAAAAGCAAGAAAGTCAACGTCAATGCTGCTATACTATACATGGCGAGCTTCCGTACTCGAAAGAAAAGTAAACCGGCCTCTTTGATTATCGTATGTTCATACAATAAGCCCGTTAATGATTTTTCACGCAGGCAAGTGCACGTATCGTAACAAGTAATAATACTAGACTCGTGAAAGTTGGGATATCGTACCCACACGGAGCAAGTTATTTTTCAACCTAAATTTATAATTATTTAAAAAATAAATGCTATTATTATAATTTATACATGAAGTGCTTCAATACTCAAATCTTTGAGTAGCGAGGGCCCGTTAGTAGATCTTGTACAGTAATTTTGTTTCTTATCGTGTAATTTATTCCGTCTTCAAATCCGTAGCTTCCGCCAGAGGCAAGAAAAATATTAACGTATAACATGAGTGCATAAAATCAAGAAAATTAATGTACAAGGATGATTTGTATTCAACCTTGACAGTGATTTTCTTTGAGCAATAGTACGCATATGTCCCTATTTAACTAAAAACGATTAACTATTTGTGTAATAAAATTTGAAATCTAAACAACATCCGACATACTCGCGCACACTTTTCACACAATTCACTCACATATTTTTTGCTGAAGACTAGACTTCCAGATATTCCCAACAAGCAATTCCATTGTCAAAGATGAATCCAATTCATCCAAATCTAAAGCAAACATATACCTACAATATCTCGAACACTACTTTAAAGACACATGTACCGCAAAAAGAACGACAATACAACTATGGTTGCAATTGGCAAAAGCAATAATTCACGGCTTAAGAAAATTCTAGTTTCCTATTTCCCTAGTGTTCGATTAAACATGATAAATTTCAAGAATCATCTAAATAAATAGCTCAATTGTGATATGCATTACGATAAACATTATATTAATCTCGAAGAAAGACTAGTCTTACCCGGAACTTGAATCAGTACCAAAAGCAAACACGATCCTTTCTCCTCTTCTTTGAATACTAACTCAGTAAACTCCAACTTCTTTGCATGTGTGCAGGCAAACAAGCCTCTAACGTAATGCTCTTCATTTCTGCAGTATCTAGGTCGGAATTTATACTGGCATATTTCAAGGCCTGTGTAATATCGGGTAAACTCATCTCCTTACAATGAAGATGAAGACGAAACTGTTTATCGGATATACTTCCACTCTCCAACTCAAGGGCAAAAGTGTCATTTTTTACTTTGGATATTTCGTCACCCCATTTCGGATCTGAAACAGAGTCCAAATGATGTCCTAGTTTCTTGTGAGCTTGCCACCCGTACTTGTAGTCTCCAACTATAGGTGTCCCCAATACTTCGGCACAGTGAACACGAAGCTATTAAATGAAGAGGCATCAAAGCAAATAATTAGTCTTAATATTTATATTTTAGCTTAATTAAAAAAAAAAAGAGATTAAGATTGACGTCATTCCAAAACCACCATTTTTATACAAACCTGATGCTTTCTTCCAGTAAGTGGTGACAGCTCTAACCATGAGTAACCTGCAATATAACACTTCAATAAGAATAGGATACAGTCATAAATAATATTCTGATTGTTATTTTAGCAAGACTCGTTTACAGGCCAATAAATTGAAGTGGGCTTTTGTAAATAACCACCAGCACAAATTTAATGTAGTAGACAATCAGTTTCTTTTCTAAGGCAAGAGCAAACGTATTGGAAGTTGAAAAGTCACCGATGCATGCAAGCATGCAGGAATAGAAGATGAAATGTAAAGGGCATAGAAAAATTGAAGCTAAACTTAATACAGATTTCAAAACCAAGAATTAGAAACGAACCACGGGATGAAGACGCTATCACACGATATTCTGTCACAGCATGCTGCGCTGACAATGTATTGTTATTTTCTGCTACAGTGATTCTCTCAGATTTGCCATTGTCAAGCACCACCTGAATAATAGCAGAACAAGAAAAAAGAAAAAAAGGAAAAAAGAAAAAAGGCATATCAACGTACAGATTGGAAACACGATAGAGAAAAGTACACTAAGGTTTTAGTTTCATCTCCTAAGCTAGCTGCCAAATTTATACAGTACATTATCATAAACATCAACTGGAATTGAGAAGAATCAGCTCCAAAATTGTCATCCGATGACGTATTATAGATTCTGTAAAACCTTCATTTACAAATTAAACAGACCAGCCAAACGACATAAATCTCAAAACCTTTTAACATATGAATTACACACACATATCGAGCACATCAATTACTTCTAAAATTGTTTCTACGGAAGATTTGCATAGTAAAGAACACATTGACAAGAAAAATAGAACAATCAATAAGAATGAAGACAGCTTAAAAAGAACTCTTAAAGATGGATAAATAAACACCTTCACCAAAGGCACAGAAATTAGTCCTTCACGACGTCTTGGAGATCCAATAACTAGAGCCCAATACTTTTTCTGCAGGATTTTTTTATTTCCACAAACCTGTGACACGGGAAACCATGAATTAGGAGTGGAGTTCTATTGTATATAAAAATAGTACCTGTTTGATAATGATTTTATTTTATTCAAGAAATTATAAAGCACAAAATACTAATGAATCAAACAAATTGATATCCGCCACGAATAAATCAATTACATACATTATTTGATGCTCCAAAAGTCTTCTCACGAAAAACAGAATGGAGGATGGTAGTGCTCAACTGCGTCCTTCCCATCACTAATATTCCACTGCTGTCTCTATCAAGCCTGTGAACCTATCAATAAGCTTCTTAACGATAATATACACAAAAAAATAGTGTTACACATGCACACGTTCTAGGAAAATACAATATATATTTTACTATATGCAAGCTTTCCGTCGATGCTTACCTTTCCACATGTTCTGCTAGAATGCTAAAGTAAATTTTTAATATACAGTTAAACCTCTATAAATTAATACAGTTGGGACCATCAAGATTTCATTAATTTAGCGAAATATTAACTTATCGATAAATTAATAATTATTAATTTATACATTAATTAATAACTTATTAATTTATGAAATTACTTTTATTATTATTTTCAATAAATACATTTTTTTTTAAATTTTTACGTATATATTATTCATTGTACCATTCGTTCAATGCACTATAGAGCCCGTTTCACGAATGAAAGCTCTTAAAACAGTAATGGTATAGAACGATTTATGTTGAGTTATTAGAAAACTATACCGAAAGTTCTAACCATGTTAAGAAAAGTGAGGGACGAGATTGATGGTAATGTGAACTTCTACAAGAAACAAGTGAGAATTAAATTATATTATATTAACTCTTCATAGATCTATAAAATATGCACTGTAATATGTAATTTAAGAATTTTTTTTATGCATTATTAATTTATATATTATATGGGGCTTCTTAAAATTTCCGAATGTGTATTATCTTATAAATTTAGCGAATTATTAATTTAGCACGTTGTCCCCGAGTCGGGACCGGGAAAATTTATTATTTAAGCGAGGTTATTAATTTATCGGGTATTAATTTATCGAGGTTCTACTGTATCATTTATATCTTCTTAGTTTGAAGCACAACATTCACCTAAAAGGCAATACTCTGCATTCTTTCATTATACCATGATTAATAATTGAGTGAAGAAAATAAAAAGGAAACAACTCTATGAAAAAGTTTAAGCAACAAGAGCGATATCTGACGAGATGGAAATTTTTAAAATCTAATTATGTAACACCTCTTCTTGCTAGAACATACTATATAAGATATAGATTCAACATGCAGTAAGATTAAGGAATTACGTGCGGTTGGTCTACAAACTGTATAGTATGTGCAAAAAAAAACTGCAGGTGCCAGCTTGATGGGCAATCGCACCTTAACAAGTAATATTTACATATTTATACATGGAAGGACAATGAACATAATTCTTCGAACTCACCAGACGAGGAGACTCTGTGAAGTCAAATTTCAAATATTTGGCAGCCAATTCATCTAAACTTCTCTTTATCCCAATGCCACCCTAAAAAAGAAAAAAAAAACTCTGTATAGTGTGAAAGGGAAAACGTTAACTGCAATCTCATAGAAAAAACAGCGAACACCAATATATACCTGTACAGGTAATCCAGGCGGTTTATTGATGACAATGATAGCTGGATCCTAAAATTACGAAACTAGAAGGTTAGTTTTTCCCTTCAAGCATAATACAAACTACGCATAAGAAGAGATCAACTGCAGTTTTCTAGACCTTATTACCTTATACAGCTCTAAGCTACGAACAAATTCCATTTCTTTTTCATCGAAAAAGTTTCGACTCTCTGCAGTTGTTGAAGGAGAGGTTCCATCAACGGATTTAGGAAGGAAAATTCTGTCACCTATATCCATCAGATCTTTAGCTCCTATCTTTAGAAACCATTTAAATATCGCATAAAACGAGTGGAACAGTCAGATGAGACAACTTAAAAGAAAGTTAACCAGAGAATACAAAGAAACGCGAAATACGATTAATTTACCCTTTTCGGCCGCTGTTCTTTGTCTTCCATATTTGAGCTTTCTTTTCGAATCTGAGGCAAATTACATACGCATTTGTTCAAAATACTATTGCTCGAAAAATATTTATTCATTCATACGCATATTGGTAAATATCAATCATGCAAAATTGACATGTGTTAAAGCTCATATTCTAAGTCCAATCTATAGATAACAGATAAATTACTGTGTTCCTTAAACAGTTTAATTCGTTCAATTCTTCTATCAATTCAAAAACACTAGTAAGAAATGGACCTGTCTTAAGCGAAAAAGCTTCTGAACAAGACACCTCGGGATATGAGGGCAGCACTTGAGAATCCATTTCAGCGCCGTCGTTTTCGCGTCGGCTGGTTGGCCGGAAAGCCTTTTTCCGATCGAACAACCGTCGGCGTTTGGGTTAAATGGAGGCAGGGTCAGCCATTGATCGTAATTCTTTTCCTTTTCACAGTTCTCCGCAGTAGCGGCGGTGGCGTAATAACGCGTGTGTTCGTTAATTGCCTTGGTTGACATTCCTCTGACGCCGGACACGGCGGCGCTGGGCCGCAAATGGCGAAACATTTGCCGGAGGAGATGTCGCTCCGCCATAACTTAGGGTTTTGAATTTGTAATCGGAGGCTTTAAATATCGAATACAGTAACAGCATTTTCTTTTCTTTTCTTTTATTATATAAAAAAATAAAAAAAAATTGGCAATTTGCAGTAATCCCCTGTCACATTAATTAGGTTTATTATCCAGCATTTTTTAAATTCACAAAAATAAAGAAATAAAAATTGTGACAACTAATTTAAAACTAAAAAAATTGATACATATGAAATATATATATATATATATATATAAATATTAATTAAAATTAAATGATAAATCAGTATATGAAAAACTTCAAAAAAATACCAATTATAATAACCGTGAACGTTGTTACATATAGAACACGTTAAACTTATTTTAAATAGTTGATAAGCTCTTACATCTAATGATTCATATAAACTCACTTAAGTTAATATTTATTATTTTTTCTCAAAAAGGTTCAATATTTATTAATTAATTTATTATTTTATATTTTGCTAACTCAATAATATGTTTATCAATTTATAGATGTTTAATCGTTATTAGACACACAAAATATTATATTAACAAATACATTTCATACACATAACCTTTTATAATTCAACAATACATATACACAGTGGCGTATACAGTGTAGTCCTAGGGTGTGCAACTGCACACCCTTGATTTTGAAAAAAAAATATTCCCTATATATTTATATATCATATAACTGTAAATGAATAATATGTTAAATGAGATTCTGTAGCTGAAATGGTAGAGTACTCCCTACATATTCAATGAGGTGCAGAGTTCGAGACCCTTCTACTCTATTTTGTTGTTTTTTTTTTATTTCTAATACATATAATATTTCAATTGTTTTCAAAATTTTCCCCTCTATTTTGTTGTTTTTTTTTTTTTATTTCTAATACATATAATATTTCAATTGTTTTCAAAATTTGAATATTTCAAAAAATCAAAATCTCTTAATAAAACATATATTTTGCTATTTACAACTTTAAGTTATTTACCATTCCTTTAATATTTTATATAATCTAAATTATTCCAAAATTCTTAATTTTATATATATATATGCTTGTTTTTATTTATTTCTAATACATATAATATTTCAATTGTTTTCAAAAATTTTGAATATGTGGGTATTTTTGAATATTTCAAAAAATCAAAATCTCCTAATATATAATATTTCAATTGTTTTCAAAATTTGAAAATATTACATATTTTTATTATTTAATGTGTATAGTATTAAAAAAAAATCGGGGGCGCTGCCCCCGAACCCCCGTAAACTTTTACCGTTATTACTATATTTAATTCCGAACACCCTTGACAAAATTCCTGGATTCGCCACTGCATATACATCACATATATATCCCAAACGTAATAAAACACCCTGAGCACATTGACATAATTTGCTATGCATAAATATAATGCTTAATCCAACTTAAATATAATTTTTTTTTTTGCTTTTTTTTTGTTTTTATGATGAAAATAATCATCGATTGATATCCATAGAATGAATAATTAATTTAAGCACTTATGGCTTATTTTTATAAACGAGCTGCACCGGAACATGTTTGTGGCCCTCGCCAGGACTCGGGCCTAATTTGTCGACCGAATCCATTTTTTTGTCGAAACTGTTAATTATTGGATGTCCTTCGCCTGGACTCGGGCCCGATTTATCGACCGAATCCATTTTTTTGTCGAAACTGTTAATTCTTGGATGTCCTGCGCCTGGACTTGGGCCTGATTTGTCGACCGAACTCATTTCTTTATCGAAACTGTTAATTATTGGATGTCCTGCGCCTGGACTTGGGCCCGATTTGTCGACCGAACCCATTTCTTTGTCGAAACTGTTAATTATTGGATGTCCTGCGCCTGGACTTGGGCCCGATTTGTCGATCGAAATTAAATTATTTTCGAGATTATAAAGTTGATGTCCAATTCCAGGGCTTGGCACGGACTTGAAAGGCTGAATCGCCTCCTCTGATTGCAAATCCGATTTCTTCAATGGTAATAATCGAGATTCAACATTGTATAAATCGGGATTTAGCATTATAGCGACGAGAAGGAACGATATGAAATGTGCTCGAATATTAGCCATCTTTGTGTTTGTAAGACTTGGGAGACTTTTTTTTTTTTAATAAAAAAATAAAAAAGGGAGAAATAATTGATGGGTAAAATGCCTGCTATTGAGAGTGGATGTTCCAAGATAATTGGTGCATGAATTTATAGAATCAAGAATTAGGGTAATTAATGGAGATGGTTTATAGTGAGAAATTTCGTTTGTTTTTCATTTGTCTTAACGTGCATTAGTATTGTTGATGGCTGATATGAAGTCAAATAATATAGGGTAAACTACGGCCACTCCTGAGGTAAGGTCAAATTACGAAAAAATCCATCATGTTTAGGTAATTACAATTACTCCCCTAAACGAGTAAAAATTCAACATAATATTCTCGATTCCATGTAATGTTCTCTAAATTATACCCGTTTCGTGCAAAAATGCAGTTTCTGATGCATCATAATCTGATTGTTACAAGCCAAAAAGCCATTTTGCAATTTCTAAAAAAGTTAATTAGAAACATGTTTGAATAATGATTTTTAGATATTTTGGTTACTTTCTTAATTAATTACATAATTTATTGATCAACTAGACAACTACAAACTGACGGTTGATAATAATATTAATTTTGAATATTTTTGTATGTAAATATAAAGAAGAAAATATATAAATAAAAACTTATATATGTTTATATAACATGCATATTTATAAATATACTCATATACTTTTAATACTTGTACATTTCCCCCAAATTCCCGTATCCCTATTTTTCGGACATGTTGTTTCCCCTGCCCGTTTTCTGCATCGCCGTTTTTCGTGCTACATAGCCTGCACCGCATGCATACATTTTCAAGTGAATCTTGACTTTAGTCTTATTTATTTATTTTAATTTAATTTTTTTTAGGGGAACCCACAAATACAATCACTCGATCGAATCTTGATGTAGTTGACAAAATAAAGTCATGATCAAATTAAAGTTGTAAGAAGTAACCTAGAAAAAGAAAACGTGGGCATTTTAATGATGAAATGCCGCCATTCCACCTTGAGCTAGCTCGCTTGTGGTTGTGGTTAGGGAACAAATATTTTATTTTCAGGTAATTAATTAATTAATTAATTAATAATAATAAAATATATAATTTAGAAAATGACTCTATCAAGGTGGAAATTAATTAAATAATTAAATAATCAAATTAATGGGCCATTATATAGGTGGTGTTTACAAACGCTTTTATAAAGTGATTATGAAGTTTTTAATATTTAAAAAAAACTGATTTTGAAAGAAAAAAACTCATAATCACTGTGTAAAAGTGTTTGCAAACACCACCATAGTTTACGACTTTTCGTAGTTATAAAAAAGAAAATAAAAGGGAGTCATTTTCAGGAAGTGATTAATACTGTTTATATATGCATGCATGGGGAGAAAGCCACAAAAGTTGCTACATCTCCATAAACCTTTTTAGGTCAAATTCTTTGTGATATATATATATATATATATATTTCTTTTTCAAGAAATTGATTCTTAATTTCTCTCAAGTTCTTGTCGGTTCGGTTTCATCCAATTCAACCCATTACATGATAATACGGACAAGCCAAATTTATTAATTTAACGAAATATTAAATTATCTAACTACTCCCTTCGTTCTTAAATAATTGTTGTTTTTTACTTTTCACAAAGATTAAGAAACTCAATAAATATATCTTGATTTTAGAAAAATCATATAAAAATGACTAAAACGACCTTTATTATTAAATGATTTATAAGAGAAAATTAATGAATAGAGTTTCATTAATAAGGTTAAAACAGGAAAAATGCATTTAATGCAGTATTGAAAATCTAAAATGACAGATAATATGGAATAAAAATATTTTTAAAAAGAGACAGTTATTGTGGAACAGAGAGAATAATACTATAGTAGATTTTTACCGAGTTGGGACCAGAAGAAACTATTATTTAAATGAAGTTATTAATTTATCGAGATTTTACTATATTTTATTATTTTTAACCCTAACTATTCAATATGTATATACATCCATCCATTGGTGCAAGATGAAATTCTATCCAAATACTCGGAATAATTTCGTATATATCTCGATTAAATAAGGTGATTGAATACGTCAAACAAATGTACGTAAATCAATATGCTATTATTAAATCAACCTATACACCAAAATAAGTTTTGCACTTACGTTTAGAATAGCAAAAAATAGCAAAGCCAAAAGAAAATTTGTTAACCATCTGTATAAAATCACACGGTACCCTTTTTTTTTCTCTTTCTTTAATTTGCCCTACACATATACGTGTGTGTATATACACACACGTATATGTGTTACAAGTAATTGATAGTATGTATATACGTACAAAATTATAACAATTTCCGTTTTAAAAATGGGGAAGGTGGATTACCACATAAATTAAAGGTTTAATTAATGAAGATAAATATTCCATATTTGGTGTCAAAGATTCTCCATTGGGATTTGTTTGGCAAATTTCTTTTTCATAAGTGCTTCCTTACACCGTGGAGACAACTACTAGGGCTTTTTAATTGCTTCTATTTGCCTAACTCCAATGAATAGCTATGCAATTTTTTTGATGCATGTATAGATATGCAAAATTTGGTGATTATTTAGCTTTTTTTTTTTTAAATAATCAAATAAGTAAAATAAATAGATAAACATTGTGATATGTCTAATAGGGTCAGCCCAATAAGCCGTATGATTTTTCTATTTACTGGGCCACAATCCCGATTTAGAAGAATAATATTACGAAAGCTCAATCACATTCAAATAAGGTTTGGGCCCAACAAATTAACATCAGCACAATTGACAATATATAAATAATAATTTAATTCATTTATTAAAGGTCCGTCCTATTATCTGAGCAAGACTACAATTCGTATTCTCTCAATTATTTCTACAATCCACACTTCTGACTTGAGTATAGGAAGGGTTTCCGCCGGATCAACCCGGCCTAGTTCACGTGTTCTATGTTCGCAGGTATCTCATGACCATCTAGCACGTGAGCAGTGATCCACTTTGCTCTCCCAGCTCCTTCTATCTCAACTACTTAAGGTGATCTAATACTAGTATCATCACATTGAAAATATTTTCAGGCTACGAAGCACGAAACCCTTGCTTTGGATTCAGGCAACGAACTCCGAACCTATTATTTTTTTAAGCTTTCTGGCGCAAAAAACCACGAGCACAGTCACTGTGGAAG